TGGATGACCGTGAGTGGATGTACTCGGGCCGCCGGAGCACCCGTGAGATTACCAGAGAATGGGTCGTCAGGACCGAGGCTTTCATCGAGCAAGCATTTGACCAGGCTCCCGGAGCGGTTGCCGTTTTTTGTCCTTGCACCAACTGTAAGAACAGAAAGAGGCAGACAAAGGAGGTGATGACTTCACATCTTGCTAGGAATGGATTTAAGAAAAACTATACCCAGTGGACCCACCACGGTGAAGCCGATCGTGTGAGAGAGGAGGTGGTGAGACCACGTGTCGAGGATTATAATGCTGATGCCGGGGTAGCAGATTGGTTAGATGACTTTCACGAAGCACACTTCGCTGAAGGACGTAGGTAGGAGGAGGAGCCAGAGGCAAGCGCAAAGGCGTATTACGACATGTTGTCTGCGGCAGGAAAACCCCTTCATGGCCACACACAGATTTCAAAGCTTGATGGCATTTCACGCTTAATGGCCTTAAAGTCCCAGTTCAACCTCAGTCGAGAGAACTTTGATGAAATGTTGACAGTTATTGGCTCCATCCTTCCGGCTAGTCACCTTTTGCCACAGAACATGTACGAATCACAGAAGGTCCTTCGTGCACTTAAGATGCCGTATGAGCAGATACATGCTTGTCCGAAGGGCTGCGTCCTCTTTAGAAAAGCACACGCGGATGCAAAGTATTGTCCAAAGTGTAAATCCTCTAGGTATCTGGAGGTAGACTCTGGTGATGGTGAGAAGAGGCAGAGTCCGTACCCCGTGAAAATCCTACGGTACCTTCCATTCATACCGAGGATCCAACGGCTATTCATGACAGAGGAGTCCGCGAAACAGATGACATGGCGTTCAACTTCTCTAACAAAAGCTCTTTACTGTGCATGTCGGCCATCGTGCCGTTGATATGTGATGGGAGGCCTTCGTGCCGTTCATATATATGTGTGCCGGCCATCTCGCCGTTGATATGTGGTGGACGGCCATCGTGCCGTTGGTTTTCTTGCAGGTTTTGGAAACCCCACCGTGCAGGGGAGGTGCTGCCGAAATTTTGATGTGTCTAGGCTTAGATTTCAATTTTATACCTAGTTCTGCAAATATTGACTTGTGTACGCTTAGATTACAATTATATGCCTTAGTATTACTATAATTACTAATTTTTCTTCTCCTTTGTGCAGAATCAATCGGCGGGTTCGAATGAGGGGCCTCAGCAGCCGCTGTCGGGAGGGTCGTGGCACGCGCCGTATCCACCACTTCCGCCGCATCAGCAGCCGTCGGGAGCGTCGGGGTACCAGCAGTATCCACCGCCGCAACAGCAGCAGCCGCCGGAGGGAGGGTCGAGGGACTGGGATGCTTGGGGGTGAGCTTGTTGCTCTTCATAATGTATTGTCGTGCACTTTGTGAGATGAACTGTTGGATTTGAGATGTTAAGATGGATTATGTGAGACATGTGATGTGGATGGCATATTTGTTAAATATGTGATATTTGTGATATATATGATGTGTTATATTTGTGAAATATGTGATGTTGAAGCTGGAAATATAAACAAAAATAAAAAAAATGCTCTCTGGACTCTTTGCCGAGAGCTAATATTTGCCGAGAGCCCAACTAACTGGGCTCTCGGCAAAGAGTAAGATTTGCCGAGCACCTAACGCTCGGCAAATATGACTCTTTGCCGAGAGCATATTCTAGGGCTCTCAGCAAAGCTTTCCTTTGCGGAGAGCTGGCTCTCGGCAAACCTTTCCTTTGCCGAGCGCTGGCTCTCAGCAAAGAAGTTTTTTTTTTAAACCACCTCAGCCCCATAATCTATTTTATTTTTTTAAAAAAAAAATTCTTTGCCGAGAGTTGCTCTCGGCAAAGAAGTGTATGGGACGACCGTTACGGGCGGGTTGCCGTTACAGCGGTGATATTTTGCCGAGAGTTAGGTTTTGCTGAGAGTTTTTATTTTGCTCTCGGCAAAGAGTTTGCCGAGAGGGGCTCTCGGCAAATAAACCTTTGCCGGGAGACCTTTTGCCGACCGCTCTTTGCCGAGAGCAGCTCTCGGCAAATGATCTGCCGAGAGTGAAATCCTCTTTGCCGAGAGCTTCGGGCTCTCGGCAAAGGAGGGGAATCCGGTTGTGAAAGTATGTTGCAAATGCTCTCTTCTATTAGTTTCATTCACCCCATGTTTGGGAATAATGTTGCACTGCTTGATGTTTTCCTGGAGCAAGATACAGGCTCATCTCCCATGGTTATGTAAGTCCTGTTTGCCACCCGTGTGTATCTTGCCAATATTCTTGACTACCGTCAAAAATAAGTTCAGCAAAAAAATATCCTTGATAGATAAATTATCTTGCTTACAGCTGGTATTACTAACCATGAGAGATTGAGGTGAAAAATTTGGGATGAAATGGAGTCTAATTTTCCACCTCAATCCTTCTTCTCAACCCATGTGAATTGGGGGTGTATTGCAGACTTGGAGTGCAACCAAACAAGCCCTTAAAGTATTTCTGAAATTTTAACAGTTCAGGAGTAGGCGCGCACCGATAATTCTTGGCAGCACGCAGGACAATCAATCAAGTCAAAATTGCTTACTGCATATCTATAGACTAGGTTTTGCAAGTGGTATGAATCTATTGAGATAGACAGGAATTGAAGGATTAATTGGGCCAGCATCATGATTTGAGATTTGAGTCGTCGACCGGCCAAAGAATATGTACTGTTTGTAAGAAGGAGCACGAGGCAAAGACACGTACTTACCTTCAGATTAGATTCCAGTGCCATATACATGCATGCACGCGTGAACGCAAGAGGACAACTTGCACAAGTCGAGCGCGCGTGCCTCTATATATTTTTCCTTCACATGGCACCTCTATATATTTTTAATATGCAATTACTTTGACACCTTACCATTAATCATGGTGGTTCTTGTTGCATCATGCATTTTATGAAGTCATAAATCTAAATTTTGTTTTTTTAAAAAAAAATTATTCTTATCGACTGCTATGGAATTTTTCTCTCTCCTCAAGTTAAGTTGAAACTCTTGTGCTTATTGTATCTTTCATTAACTCTCCCTTTTGCACTTTTTAAAAAATATGGATTTTAGGTCATAGAGCATGTTCTTAAGTACTATAATAGAAGTCATTATTTGCATGCACCATATCGCTTAAGATAAGTCATAGAGCTTGAAGTGATATCTCGGCTAGGGGTAGCAGTGCTAACCTCAACGGAATTTTAATACTTAAACCTTATAGTGATCGATTTTTCACTCTTAAGTATTCTTAAAGGGCCAAGACAATATAGCCACCAATGGTCTCCCACACTTCTCAAGATGATTGAATTTTCCTATCAAGAAATTATATTTGTAGTTATGATTATACCAATATAGACATGTCAAACATTTCAATTAAAATACATAAGTATATCTAAAGTAACAATAATATAGACACATTAAACATTTAGATATATTTATAGTATAATCATAAATATTTTTGTTACTTTAGATATATTTATGTTACTTTAGATATAAACATTTAGATATATTTATAGTATAATCATAAAGTTTGACATGTCAAAAATATAGACATGTCAAGCCAGATTATTTAAAAATATAGACATGCCAAACATTTTTCCATGTTTCATAAGTTGTTAAAATAAATATTTATCCAAATATATACATGTTTATTTGATATACATGATGGAACATAACATTATAGTTATTTTATTTCATGACTACAGAAGTCTGTAGTTTAGAAATATATATGCGACCGGCGGCGGGAGGAGCTCCGCCCGGCGTCAGGAGGGACTTCGCTAGCGTCGGGGAGGGGCGGTGCCGGCGAAGGAGGCCCACGGGGGAGGGGCGCCACCGGCGGGGAGGAGGCGCGCGGCCGGCGTTGGGGCAAGACGTGCTGCGGGAAGAGAGACGCGTGCGGGAGAGAGGAAAGAAGCGAAGAAAAATAGGCATATAGATTTGTTGGGCCAACAGATATAGGTAGTGGGAGGAGGAATTTGTTGGACCAACAAATTTAGGTAGCCTGCTGAAGTTCATTTTTTGGCCTCCGCTATCCAAATATAGGATAGGTAGCTTGCTGGAGATGCTATAACAACAGTATATGTATACTCCGTAATAACTACTACTACTATATATATATATATATATATATATACACACACACACGAACCTCCAAGCAGTTGAACAATCTTAGGAGTAGTTCTCTCCTTTTTACCTGATGCCGGCTCCGTGACTCTTGATTCTGTAGCATTATAACACGGAGCTGGTGGAGCGAGGAAACGTGGCACCCAATGGCTTCTTCTCTTCCCAGTTTATTTTTCACCTAGAAAACTAAAATGGCTTCGTGAACTGTTTCAAACAGTACCACTACTTTACTTTTCACGAGGAGCCGGAGCACCTAATAGCTATACCAAACAAGGTCTTACAAGCTAAGATGACACATATGTAGAGATACATGAGAGAGAGTGCTTAGAGAGAATATATCTCTTGCTCTCTCGCTCTCCAATTCTTGGGCGTATGCGTATGTATGTAGAGATATTGCTTAGCTAAAAGTAAGAGCCATTAATACCTGCACATATCAATAGGACGACACGGCCGGTCCTCATCACAATTGGAGTGCTGTCTTATTTGAGTTTTAATTAGGAAAATAATCTTCTCTTATCTCTCTCTCCCCTTCACCACCAGTACCAGTAGCACCACCACCACTTGCAAGCAGCAATCAACCTCATTCGTCCTCGTCCGTCCAAGAGCTAGCGAGAAGAATACCGCACCGCACAACCGTATAGCTAGGCCGGCCGGCCAATCCATCCATCTCTCGTCTTGTACATGTCTAGCTGGGTCTCCATCGATCTGTCTCTGTGTGTGGCGTGTGGGTGTAGTTAGGGCTGGTGGTCTTGTACTAGTCGTCCTCCTCCTCCTCTGGTCCTGCGGCTGCGTGCTATAAAGAAGCTACCTAGGCTGGCTGCGGGGAGGGGAGGTAATGACACAAGCAGGCCGCCGTCGATCGAGCTCGAGCATGGGGGGAGCATCCGGAGACCAGCAGCAGCAGCAGCAGCACGGCGGAGGCGGCGGCGACGATGGGCAGCAGCAGCAAGGCGGAGGCGACATGGTGATGCCGGGGTTCCGATTCCACCCCACGGAGGAAGAGCTCATCGACTTCTACCTCCGCCGTAGGGTGGAGGGCAAGCGCTTCAACATCGAGCTCATCAACCTCGTCGACCTCTACCGCTACGACCCATGGGATCTCCCTGGTAAGACGCATAAGCAAGCAACATGTGAACTGCTACCATACCAGCTAGCTCCTGCTAATAAGCATCATATCAAGGGGATCTGGCATATATGATTTCATGCATGTGACCGACCCCCTTTATTTTCTTTTCTTTTCATCTCATGTGAGCCTTTATTCAGCTTGCTTTATTTTTCATGCATGCGCTGATGGTGTCTATTTTTCGCTTTTGTGTCTATACTAACTACATGGATATGATGCTCTCATCTCATGCTCTACATAAACCACCGCAGCTTTGGCTTCGATTGGGGACAAGGAGTGGTACTTCTACGTTCCGAGAGACCGCAAGTACCGCAATGGCGACCGCCCCAACCGAGTCACGCCGTCCGGCTACTGGAAGGCCACGGGGGCCGACCGCACGGTGTACGTTGAGGTGAAGCGGCCGATCGGGCTCAAGAAGACGCTGGTGTTCTATGTCGGGAAGGCGCCCAAGGGGCTCAGGAGCAGCTGGATCATGAACGAGTACCGCCTTCCTTCCGGCGAGGCCGACCGCTACCAAAAGGTAGCAACAAAATTCCAGCTTTATATTTCCTTCATCTGTTAACAAACAAAGTACTGGTATAAATAAAGATGTTTTTGTTTTTGAGAAATTTTTGCTCTGATCCTCGCTCACTGCGTGGCTGCTTCAATTTGTTTTCCTTATTTGAGTTGTTTATTTTTTTTCTTTTTGAGTTCTTTGAGATCTTGGAAAAGTTAGCACACGAGTTGAAAGATCAATCCACTGCTTAAATTGAAATTGCCCTCACTTTTTGGGATTTGGGTCCTTGATTGATGATTGTTAGCATCTGTTTGTGATCGCCGGCTGTGGCACATGTGTATCAAAGTTGCAAACACTACTCTTGTTAATTAAAAGCAAGTGCACCGTGCGAATTACACTTGCAAGATCTAGCTAAGATCACCATGGTTTTCTAGGCTTGCTAGTAGTAGATGTACATATCGGCAGTTTCTCTCTCTCTCTCTCTCTCTCTCTCTCTCTCTCTCTAATATGTTCCCTGCTAGCTAGTTAATTAGGTTATTCCCATCACTTGCAAAAGTAGATCAATATTTTTCTTCAGAACTTATCCGAGAGTTTTTAGAACAGAGAAGGAACTAATACTTGAAAACTTTTCCAAGTTTCTGTACAGATCGGTTACTCTTTTCTTCTGCTTTTCCTTTGCAAAGACTGGTCCCTCCTTTTTGGATGTATGAATCATCACACCCAAATACGTTAAAACTTTTTGCAACTTACTTTTCAAGATCTTCACATATCTGGGATGATAACTACTCAAAAGAGAAAGCTACGTATACTTCATGGTTCTCAAACAATATATAGCAGTACTGTAGAAACGACAACATCAGATCTAAGAAGGAAAGTTAATTAATATTTTGGAGTACTGTTATGTGCCTATCTGTTTAGTGTATAGCATGATGAAGCACATCCTCCTTCACATGAAAAACTTTTTCAAGTGACATTTTTATGTTGGCTGCAAACTTCCTCTCTCTTTCAATATATAACCATGGTTTATGCACATATACTTAAATCTATCACTTGCGCATAAGAAATTTTTCAGTCTCTCTGCTAATTGCATGAGTTATAGTTACTTTTAAGTGTTTGTTAGGAATACCAATTTAATTTTGTATTAATCTTGATTAATTCATTTTCATATCATATTTAGGAAATTTCTCTTTGCAAAGTGTATAAACGACCAGGGATTGAGGACAACTTTCACCTCAGCACCACAACAACAAGATCATCCAGCTCAAAGGCTGCACTGATCATGGAAAAGAAGCACCACCGGACTTCATCAGCATCACCCCACCTGGCACCAATGTTCGACGGTGGCCACTCATCAGCTCACATGAACAAGCCATACAGTGGAGCAAACACGACCATAGCCATGACATCGTCAGCTGCAGCTCGAGCAGCAACAATGGCACCACAGACGTCAATGTTCCTGTCAACCCCCTCACTTAGCTCCACCACATCGACGGAGGAGGACGGTACATCACTCTACCACATGAAAGGTGCTAACCCACCGATGCTGCCTTCTTCCACACATGCCCTGCTTAATGCAAACTCCGCTACAATGGCAACAATTCCAATAGATGAGCTGAGTAGGGCAATTGGATCATATAATAGCCAAGGAAACCCTAACCAGCCCTTGCCACCATCACAAGGTCCATTGCTTCCTTTTCCTAGCATGGAAAAGATTTGGGATTGGAATCCACTCCTAGAATCTCCCAAGGTTTGCACAAGCTTCAAGTGACTTTCAGGTGGCTCGAAGCATTTATATGCATGCTTGCATGCGTGCACGTATTATATATGAATACAGGTGTGTATATGTGCAGACACATAATTATTATTTGGGCTAGAACATGGTTAATATGTAATGGAATATATAGGATGAGTTAGTTCTAGTCCTATGCAATGCTCCACTATATTAATCAGTTCACCATCTCATATGAATAGCTGGTGTAACAATATGTCAATTTCTATTATTTGGTAATGCAGACCTTGTAGCATAACTCGATTAGAGATGGAAATAAAGATTATTTGGTCATCTGGCCTTAGGCTTATATATGTATGTTTCAATTATCATTTCAATTTAATTTATTGTTGCCCCAGCATTAGTTTACAGATTTCATGTTTACATGAAATGACAAAAAGGTATGCAGAAATATGTCCATATGTTATATATATTGAGATTTATTTCTACTTGTACACTGTTCAAAAAATGCTATTTTTTTAATGGGAGTTTTACCTCAGCTTTTAAGAAAGCAGTTCGGAAAATGCTATTTCTACTTGTACACTGTTCTAGCTACTTTCTTAAGTTAAAGCGTTTTTGCATGATATCTTGTCTATGTTAGGTTCCTAGTTCAGAAACCATGAGTCTAGTTAATTAGAACTACTCCCTCCATCTCAAAACATAAGGCGTGATTTAACTTGGTGCAGTTTTTAAGAACATATTTTGACCTATAATTTCTCCTACAATATAGTATAATTTATAGGAACAAAAGTTTGGTCATTAGAAAGTATTTCAATATATAAATCAAATGATGCTATTTTTGTAGTATAAATTTTTATATTATTACGCTAATTGTTATTCAAAGATAATAAAGTTTGAATTTTGAAATACGTGCTAGCCGAACAACTAGCTAGGATCCATCCCCCTTGATACATATGCATTCATTAGAAATGAAATGAAATGATGATCAAGAGTACTTCACTCCCCAATATAATATCTGGAACAGTTAATGTGGTTGTAATGTGACGTTTGGAACCAAAAGCATTAACAAAAATAAGAACCATTGTAGTGCATCACATATCCATTCTTCATGATCTGCCAATAATCATATATAAGGTAGACACAGTTAGACATTTTGAAACATAGTGTTGAGAGAGAGTAGCCACGATAAGAATGTCTCTTCCCTAATTATTCTTTTAGTGGTATACATAACATGCGAGTTCAGTTCAACTTTTTGTTTCAAGAATTATTAAAAGTTAATTTATCCTTATTTATTGTAGTTGTCTATATCATTTGAGTCCTTTTTCCTCATACTGGGAAAAGGTGAAATCTATAGTTAGCTAGAATGAAATTGACTTTCGTTCAAAATCAACTAATTAATCTTACTTTAACAACAAATTAAACTGGTAGTTTGAGACGATAGAACCAGCTTAACGATCTATTTTAACAACAAATTAAAGGCATCAACAGTGCGCGAGAGAATAACATGGAAAAAAAAACTTGAAATGTTACACCATCTCTCACAGTCTTGCTCATATCCAATCCTTTATCTTTCTTTTCTTTTTTTTGAATTAAACAAATACAGTTTTTTATTTAATCTGATTATTACTACCAGCCTGTTCTAACAATTGCCGGAGAGGAGCAGTCAAGTGTGGCGGTCCAGTTGGCGCACACATACACGCGCCGCCGCCATGTATGATGCAGGCCTTGCCGTTGCCGACCGTGTTTACTCCACAGTCTGCACTGCACAGTCCACACGGCAACCTTCGTGCTCTTGCTGTCAACGCACGTATGACCTTGTTAGCCATAAATACATACTTCATACCAAGTATAAGTAAAACTTATCTAATCTATTTTGATTAAGTTTATAGGAAAAATATAATAGCATTTATAATAACAAATAAATGCACTATCAAAATGTATTTCATGGTAATCTTATTTTGATGATGTAGATGTTTGTGCTCTTTTCTATAAATTTGATAAAAACTAGAGAAGGTTGACTTAGGACAAAACTAAAACGGCTTACAATTTGCAACTAGTAGAAGTACTCCCACCATTCCAAATTATAAGATATTTTGACTTTTCTTATGTACATATTGATCTGTACTTATATTCGGTAATACCATTCGCTAATCAGTGTCTCTCTATGTACTCTCTCCGGGTTTTTTACATGCCACATTAGCTTTGTTCTAAGTCAAACATTACTATCTTTTACCTTCCATTAAAAAAAACTTACAGTTTCATAACATATGATCTAGATTAGTGAATCCAAAAACATAAATCTAAAAACATAAATCTTATGTCATGAATCTTTTTAGATTTTTTGAAATTAATGATCAAAGATATAAATATTTGACTTAGGACAAAGCTAATACGACTTGTAAAAAATAGAGGGAGCACCTGCATCTAGCTGAAGCTGAAGCATTATGGAAATTTTACATGTTAATTGCACACTAGTTACTAACGGATAAATTTCTCTCTAGTGGGCCTCTTGGCCTAGGTTGAAAGCCCACTCCACAACTGGTTGAAAACCACGCGGAGCTTATGGTTACGGACCATGTGTATCCTAATGGGCTAGACCGCCGGCTCACTGCTTCCTTCCTTCTAGGAATTGACTTTGGTAAGACCACTTTTGATGACCAAAATTGATCCATTACAGCCTTGCTGATGTCAACAAACAGCCTGTTCGGTTGGCTGGTTCATTTCGTTGTTGGTTCGTGAAGAAGTTCTGCTGGCTGGTTTGTGTGAGAGAAAAATATTTGTTTCGGCTGAAAATTTACGATCATTTACGACAAGCCACAGCCAAATGAACAGGCTGAAAACAGGTTAATATGGGTTGTCAGGCTAGCTACACCGAGTGCTTGGCCCATTGGAGCTTTGTGTCGAGTTTTAGGTTGTAAATGATCTCCATATGGAATAAGACCATCACGAATAGTTTCTAATAATTTGTGTTAGGCTCGCGAGAAGATTTTTGGCCATATTGTTCGTGCCACACAGACAATACCTCCATTCCCGCCCTCCACCAGCCCAAAGAAAGCCCACAACATCTCCTAACTTACAACCAAAACCTACAAAGCAGAATTTCCTAGTATTCTCATATCTAAAAATAATAGACAGAGATTCAATTCCAATGAAACTCTAGACGGCGGCATGGTCAGGGTGATGGAGTATCAAAGAAAAAAATACGCCCGTAGCCCCTATGATAGGGAGTAGCCAGCGGAGGATCCATGAAAAATTTTAGGGAGGACTGAACAACACATACCTTCGACTGCTGCTCGATCTTAAGTCTCAACCCCACATACACTATAGAACTTTGCCTAAAAATTCATGGGGGCTTCAGGGGTTCCACTGCTCCGGTATGGGTAGGGGGGCTCCGTTGGATCCACCCCTGGGAGTAGCGGTAGTCCATGCGTATCTAAGCATGTATGGATAGATTAATCTTCATTATGTCCAAGATATCAAGATTAGAAGTCGTTTTACTTCGCTCACATATGTACTTCCTTCAGCTACAAGTCAAGATTGGATTACTAATTAAACTGTCGAGGATTATAGGTACCCTGCGTGAAAAAAAGGGAATCGCTAGCGCCCAGACGTCTGATCCAGGCGCTAGCATCCGGACGCTCGCGCCAGCTGCGCCTACCCGTGGGCCAGCCCGCACGCGGCACACCTACACCTGATTCACGTGGGGGCCCACGCTGCTCGTTTCCCGCGCGCACACGCGGGCTGCATCTCAATTTGCGCCGGCTCTTGTTTCCCATGTTTGTCGCTCGGAACCCCCCCCCCCGCTCCCCATACATGCATGCGGGCCCAGCAGCTACAAGCTTGTGGCTGTAGCAGGTGGGTCCCACTACAACATTCAAACACCAGATCTACTTTTGCAACATCCAAATAAAAAGTTTGCAACATATGTCTAAAATAGGCAAAACATTTGGGACATACACTTGAAACACTATTGCAATATATGCAAACATTCTGATCTACTTTTAAAACATTGAGATGCAACACTTGCAACATACAAAAGAAGACAGATGAAACACTTGAGACAAGCGTCTAAAACACTTACAACATACATGTACAAACAACAGATGAAACATTGGGGATAGATGCTTGCAACATATGCAATATCCCGGTCTACTTTTGCAACATCCGCATGAAACAATTGAAACATATATCTAAAACAACTAAACACATAAAACATAGGCTTGCAACATGTCTGAAAAACGTACAAAAACACTTGAAACACAACATCGTTGTGTGGCCATGACCTACCTGGTGGAAAATTGCGGTGGCACAGGCCTCCCCTTCCTGCCGATGACGCAAGGTGGATGGGGGTGTAGGCGCAGGCGTAGGCCTCCCCTGCTTCGCTTCCATGGCGGGCGAGGTGGATCGGCGCGGTGCTGGATGGTGGCGCTCCCGATCTCGTGATGGCGCGAGCTATCACTGCTCCGGTGCAGAAGGCGGTGGCGGGTCCGGTGCAAGCTGTCACTGCTCTGGTGGAGAAGGTGGGCGGCGAGCTGGAGAAGGCCACGGTAGGCTAGAGGCACGGTGGAGAGGGAACAAGGCGGGCGCCTGGGAGGCGTGATGGAGAGGGATCAAGGCGGGTGGCTGCGCTCGGGCACGGTCGAGATGCTGGCTGTCGGGGCCCTGGCTACCATGGAGACCGCTGGGGCAGCGCGGCGGAGCGCGGTCGCAACAGAGCTACGATGATTTTTTCTGGAGAATGGAGATAGCAGGCTACAGTTAGGGACTTGTGGATGAGAGGCTACAACTATTGGGCCATTGGGCTGGTGTTGCGGCACCCGTGAACGAGAGCGTTCGGAGGATCGGACGTCCTCACCGTAGCATTTGTTAAAAAACACACACACAACAATGGTACGTGAGAGAGAATGGTATATGATGCCGTTTGGATCCCAAGGGATTTTGAGAGTCCACATAAAACGTTCCAACGGTTTTTTTAGATTTTGAGATTTAAAAATCTGTGAGATAAAATCCGTAACCCGTTTGGATGAGAATCGGATCGTGGGATTTTTTTTCTCTGGATTCTCGAAATCCAAATAGGGCCGTAGTAGCGTTTTGGGCTTTTGACGAGGGGAGTTATGAGAAAACCGCCGTGGAACCCAACCACCGCATGCTTTTATTTACTTTCACGCGTCCATGAATGCACTGGGCCTACTCGTGCGTGCGTGTGCATGCATGCTGGCCCATATTCGCTCGCGTGCACGCCGGCCTGCTTTATTGCATGCGCGGCATGGCAGGTTGGACTACAATTACAAATAACCGCGCCATATTATGTTGTATGCGTACGTGACGATTTTTTATAATTTTATATATTTTCTAGCTATATTTCAAGATTTATTAGAACAAACATGCCTTCATTTAAGTTTATATAACTCAGAGTACGATCTATGCGGATCTCCCATGGCACTCAAAGGGTAAAAATGACAAGAATACAACAATGCTAAACATCGCCGATTTGGGAGTGTGACAAATATTTCAGGCCCAGTAAGGTCTTGTTTAAATGCACTTGTATCCATCTTAATCGCATATATTGGAGTTGAAAATTAACTAACTTTTACCTCGATTCACTCCAACATATGTGGATAGACATGAATACAAGTGCACCCAAACAAGATAAAAAAAATTTTGGTATTTGCAGCCCTTCAGATGAGTTATCTAATTATTACAGAAATAATTTGTAGAGGGTTGGAAATAGACACATCTACTCATATACTCTTATGGCTCTAGAAATCACCAATTCCTACAAATAGGTATCCAACCACCCCTAAAAATCGATAAGATGGGTCAAACTTAAGAAAAAAAAATAGCTTCTTGAAAGAAGAAGAAGATGTAGAGTTATTTTAGGATGATGAGTGAGTACAGCCTACTATGTATAAACTCATCTTGGGCTCTTGACTTGAGACGTACTACTCCGTAGTAGGCCTCAAATTTGTGACCGCTCTGTCTCAGCTGTGGCCGGTTCTGGGCCGGAAGTCCAGCAATCAGGCCCGTGAACTTTTCCTTTCGAAATGGAAAGGAAAAGAAAAAGGGCCCATAATGATTGCTCAATGCTCGTCTGCATCCCCGAGTGCCAGAGGCGACGATTGTGTGTTGGATGAACAAGCCACCATTTTGAGCAAGTAGGAGTACTCCTGAACACCTCAATGGCTTGTCTTCGTCTCCTGAGCAAGTACTGTAGTTTCATTTTGCGTGCAAGTGCAGCAACCGTCAGGAAATCCATGTAGCGTCTGGAGGACGCTGCTGCACACGTGCGCGTGTGCGTGCGTACATTGAGTGGTTGAGATGGATCTCGGCATCTCGCTGCCCTGCCGTCGTCCGATTCAGGGCTCGTTCGGTTGCTTCGCATTGAGTCCCTGCAATAATTCCAGTTGCAGCCTCAGATGGTACGCAGAGTTGTTGCCGCACCAAGTGAATTCCTGATCCAAGCAATCCTGAATCGATGCATGTAGTACTATGTATGTACTCCTATGTCCGAGTGAAATTTGCTAGATGCAGAATTGCAACCAATTTCGCAACTTCTACGAGTGAGATTGCTGCGAGGAGAAGGAAATTAAAAAAAATGAATGAAAGGAACTGAGCCAAAATCCCGTCGAGGCGGAGCAAAGCAAAATCGTGTCCATGTACTAGTCGATCTCTCAATAAGAAGACTCCGCGTTGGATTTTTATTTCCATTTCCACGCCAAAATCTACTACTACTCACTCTAATCAGCTACAAGTACTAGCTACTACAAGTAAGAGGAGTGTGAGGAGGAGCGGGAGGAGGCGGGCGCGGCGACGGTGACGGCGGCGCGGGCGTCGGAGGGGACGAGGACGAGGAGCAGGAGGACGGCGAAGATGGCGACGGGCACGAGGAGGACGAGCGGCGGCGGCGGCGGCAGCGGCGGCAGCAGCAGCGGCAGCACCAGCAGCGTGGCCGTCACGCACGCCAGCAGCACCGCCGCCTCCGCACCCAGGTACGTGGTCGTGGCCGAGGTCCCGGCGGCGCCCGGACTACCCGCGCCGGGCCTCGCCGGGACCCCCGCGGCGGCGAGAGGCGACGACTTGCGGCGGCCTCCGGCGCTGTCGGCGCGGCCGGACATGCTGCCGTGGTCTTGGCGGCGGTGGAGGTCGAGCAGGTGCATCTGAGGCGCGGTGCCCGGAGCAGTGGGTCGGAGGCGGTGATCCCCGCTGCTGGTGGAGCGGTGGTTGGCCTCGCCGGTGGCCGGTGCCGGATGGATGGAACGGGCTCCGGATTTGCTGGAGGGACGGGACGGAACACGGGGGGGATCGGTGGCCGGTGGTGGGTTTGCGAGCTTTCGGGAACATTTTTATAGGATGATGGGAGAAACCAGGAGGGGATTGTGGGGCCCGCGCGGCAGGTGGCCACTGGCCAGGCGGGGTGCATGGCATGCATCCCAGTTGGAGCGGACACATGGCCCAGGCGGCTGTGCGCACCGTGTCGCGTGTCCCCACAGTGACAGTGACACGACACGGTGGAGTCTGCAGTGGAATGCATGCAATTGGGCCAATGCATGCGTGTAATTAAACGGGGATGGTTAACTCCCTAGATTAAGATTATTACCACTGGGTGGATCACAATCACACACACTTCACCTTCGGGAGTGTGGTGCTCAGCAACCAATGCCCGTGACTCAAAAACACACACACACGCACGCCTCGCCTTCAAAGTTGAGAACCATGAATTGATTAGAATTGAGATGCATATTTTGTGTGCCGGATGGAACGAAAAAAGACGATGATGGGCTTGCTGCTGTAGCATAGCAATGGTACTATCAAGCAACCAACGTGTGCGTGTGATGCCGATGCGAAGCACTGCACATGCACAGGTCGCTCTCTCTCTCCGTCTGCTGGTGGCTGCTGGCTGCTGGCTGCTCGCTCGTCATGGTTGGATGGAGATCGAACGTACGGCGGCCAGGAGCAGGACGAGACTGTGTCCGTGTCTGTCCCGGCCCTGCCGATGCAAAACCAAAACCAGCAGCTGGCCACTGCCTTTTGGTTTTGGTTTCTGGTTTGGTGCATCTATCGGTGCGTGCGGTGCATGCATGAACCTCCTCACCTCCTGTCGTCTTCGTCTCCCATCCATCGGCTACGTACGGCTACCAGCACAGCTACCCGTCCTTCAGTGGAGCCTGCGCAGGAAATCTGGCCAGTCATTCTCGTTCACGCACCCGCACGTGCCGTCGACCTCACCTGGCTCCAGGCTCCAAGGACATGCTTGGAACGTAAGAATTTCACATAAATCATACAGAAATTTCACATAGATCAATTTAATTTTATAGAAAAAATACAAAAACAGAATAATTTTTCTGCGTTCCGAACAGGCCCTAGCCTTGGCTATAAGCCAAGCCACGTAATTAGCAGACAAGCTTGATAGCCAAGATATACAACCAGCTAGTCTCTTCTTCTATTATGAACCATATTTTTTATTTGTCTGGGACCCACCTTATCTTCACTTTTCCTATTCTCTCTCCGTCTTCGTTGCTTCCATACAACTGCTCACCCAAGCAGCCAAGACTTAGCAGCCATCTCCGTTCTCCCGATGTGCACATGTGCAGGCGTGCAGCTGAGCTATAGACGGTGAGAACGGAGCAGGGCTGTGCCCGACCGCGCGGAGGTGGAGCGGCAGTGGCGCAGCGGCGTCGAGCTCGCGGGGGCCGGCATGGCGGAGTTCGCGACAGCGGGAGACGGACACGGCGGGTGGCCTTGCTGTGGATTGCGCGAGGAAGCACGCGCTAGTGGCGGGACCCACAGCCTGGGCAACTGTGCAAGCGCTCGGGGCTGCATGTCGCGCCAAGCTGAGCCTTTCATCCCCTCTCTCTTCCGGCTAGGATTATGCTGACATGTCTTGCTATAAGCGAAGTGATGTGGCCCAATTGTACCTGCTGCTCTAAGCGGGTGCTATCTTTCTTGGCAGTTGCCACTTCAGTACTCCACAGTCGTCACTGAAGGACGGGTAGCTGTGCTAAGCCGTGGGCCGGGCAGCTGATGATCAAGATAAAGCTTCGTTTGATTCGACGGCCAGAGAGGGACGCAACCGCAACAACGTACTCCCTCCGTCCCGTAACAGAGGTTGTTATGGGATAAATGTAGATTAAACTTTTTTAACTTTGAGTAGAGTGATAAAAAATACGTGTAATATTTATATCTTTAAATAAATTTATTATGAAAGTATATTCAACAATTTATCTAATGCTACTAATTATGTACCATACATATTAATATTCTTTTATATATAATTAGTCAAAGTTAAAAGAAAAGCTTAAGGCCTACTGATAAGTTTAAAGGCTGAAGTTATTTTGTTGTGAGAGAAAAATACTGTAGATTCCACCTGATAAGTCGGCTGATAAGTTCAAGCGAACAAGTTAAGCGAGAATGACTTCCATTTTAGAACAGAGAGAGTAAGTTTGCTAGCGTGGAGCGCTACCTTGAGTTTCCCTGATTAAAATGTGCTTATTATCATTCTTGTGATAGAGATAATATGTTACCTTTCGCATAGTAGGCATTACAGAAATATAACTTAGTGGAATTATAAACTATACCTAATTTTCTATTACAATACATTACCAATAACTTGCCACAAATTCTTCAACCACCGCTTTCTTTAATTGTGCGTTCGGTAGGGATCTAGCTAGGTTCTTATAGAAACATTTCAGACGATGAATTAGAATAATTTAATGAAACCGTTTAGCTCGCTAGCTGGATCCTTTAACCAGAACTAGAATCAGGCAAAACCAGGTTCTATGTAGTGTTTCAATCTGGACTCGTATAAAAGAAAATGAGAATCAGTTTCAAGTGATTCTTCGTGGAACGCATCGTTTCTCTCTTTTGAAGCATTTCACATCGATTCGAATGCTTGAGAATCTGAAACGTTTCTTTCTGCCAAACACACCCAAACTCAAAACACACATCGAAAATAAATAATATTCCCTCCGTCCAAATTTAAGTGCACGTTTGCACTTTATTTTTCATAAAAAATCGACGCATACATCTCAACCTGACTCCACAAGCTTACGTAGCGGTCAAAAACTCACTAGAAAGTTTAATATATATATTAAAAATATTATTATTTATTTATGCTATATAATTAATATCATCGGAAAATCTTTAAATCTTTTTTAATAAATTTATTTGGAGATAAAATAATGCTAGTATTTTTCTACAAATCGATATTAAACCTCGTTTAGTTCAAAAATTTGGATTTTGGGGTTCTTTGTAACCTGTTTTATTATAAAAATATACTTATAAATTAAACCAACAGGGTTAAATTTAATTTCCCAGTCAATAATATAATTAGTTTCAGCCAACCCCTTATCCTTGCAACAGCGGTGCTCGGTGCAGGTTCAGCTCACCTGGCCTGTGGCCTGCCTGCCTAGCAAATCCATACCTGATTCGTGCAGTGGCCCGTACGTACCAGTAGTAACTCCATCGGCGACAAGGGATGATGATGTTGGAACAAACAAAAAAAAATCGCCCGTTCTTCTGTCACTCATTCATTTCACCTTGTTTAGACTAGATCCCAATCAGCCACACGCTTTTTGCTTGTATTATCAATTATTGTTCAGTACAGCACGAGAGGAGAGATGATGGTAGTACACCTGTGTGGTTAGCGGTTTTTTTTCTGGTGTAATATTAAATGCACGTCTAAAATTTAATCCATCTGTTTACCTCGCCTTCCTTTCTTCTCATCTCTTTGAGCTTTCATTTCTCCTGAACCCACGCCGGAGCATGTCAGCCTTTTGCAGACCGTTGGATAGGTCAGCAATATAAATTGCCTCTTGCACTAAGGTTCTTATTCAAAACGATGTAAATATTGTATGTTTGAACGATCTTTTTTTTATGCGTTTCAGTGTTTTCACGTGAAATTAAATTGATTTCTATAAATATTTTATATAATTCTTGTATAATTCCTAAGTTCCAAATAATCCCTAAAATAGACTGAGGGAGTACGTACCTACTGATGTTATGACTATTTTTTCATAATAAACGACGTACATACAACCTGACTACAAGCTTACGTAGCGGTCAAAAACTCACTAGGAGTTTAATATTTAACGCCCTATTTATTTGGCTTATAAGCTATAGTTTTTCGATTAATGAATGATATTTTTTAATCAGTAATAATACAATGAGTGCCTATATTAAATCCGATTATAATCAAACCCGAAAAAAAAATTTATAGATTATAACCGATAAGCGGCTGGTTTTTTATTTAATAAAAATCCAAAAACTGATTTACTACCAAAAAAATTAAATAAAAAAAACTAATTAAATCAGAAATTATGAATCTTTTAGTATCTTTTTCAAAAAAACGTCCTCTACTTGTTTTATGAGTCTATATAGGGCTTTAGTCAATTGTTTATTATCAGCCAACCCCTTATCCTATAGCGGTGCTCGGTGCAGGTTCAGCTCACCTGGCCTAGTTTGCCTGCCTAAAATCCATAAGATCGTGCAATAACTCTAAATATAGCACTGCTCCATGCAAATAGTTGATGATTTGTAGAAGAAAATAAAACCCGTCGAGTAATTTGACACGTAGACCTTCCCAAACCACACGCTTGCTTATTATTATTAGACGAAGGAGAGATGAAAAGTACACCTGTGTGGTTAAAACAGTGGTGTGGTTAAATGCATGTCTAATCCTCCATCTGTTTACCTGTTCCTTTCTTCACTGTCTTTTGCTTTCATTTCTCCTGCAACTAGCGTGCTTGAACCGTTGGACGGTCGCAATATAATCCTCTTTCACAAGGAAGGAACACGATGTAGATATTGTACATGATGATCTTCTTTTGCGTATCAGATTCGATATATATATATATATATATATATATATATATATATATATATATATATATATATAATAACAATATAAATGCGTATCAGAATCTTTTTGATGGAATGCGTGTATCAGAATTTGGAACGATGTGCAGCTGAATGTGCACGTGACACTTCTTTTCATTTTAGTCTTTGACATTTAGAAGAATTTGAAATAAGCAATTGTATGTTTTAGAGGAAAACGTTAATTAGGACGTCTCCAAATTCTTTTTTTTCGTTGAATAATTTTTAGAGCAGAACAATCATTTTTTTTTAAGAATCACAGTAGAAAAAAAAAAAAAGTGCACGTGATACGTTAAATTCATTTGTGGATAGTCATTTTATTTATCAATAAAAAAACACAAGCACGTTAAATCAAACCCCAAAATGTTTTAAAGGTGGTTTTCTATTTAATAACAATAAAAAAACTGATTTACTACCAAAAAAATTATAAATAATTATTTAAATCAGAAAATATGAAACTAGTACCTTTTATTCAAAAAATGTCCTCTACTTGTTTTATGAGTCTATATATAGGTTTAGGATTGTTTATTTCTATTTCTATATGCGTGGCAGTATATCTGCGTAGAGGTTACATAGGAGATTTGCTACTTATATGGCTTCGATTCCTCACCACTTAACAATTGGTTTGGCATTTTTGGCAGTATATTTCTCTCACAACAATTCAAATTACAGAGGAGATTTGCTACTTATAATATACCTTAAGAGTTCCTTTGTTTTCCTAAAAAGTTTTTTTTTTGGATTCAGTTATCCCAACAATGAGGTCTAGAAATGCTGGTCCCATTTGATCTGTGATGTGCTATAAGCTGAGAGAGTGCAGGCACTGGGTTCGTAGCTCGTGACAGGATTCAGAGGCAGTGGTGTGGTGGTTACCTACGCGATCGTGATCTATTACAAGCTGAGACAGCATGCTGTTGGGCTTGATTTAAGCATGCTGTTGGGCTGGATCCATCAGTTGGTCCACTCCGGGCCCAATTATCTGGCGTTGGGCCAATGGCGGAGGGTGAACAAAAATATAGTGGGGGCCAACTTCACAGAACACAAGTGATAAGTGAAATATAGTTGACATCAGAAATAGAACCATGTATGATATATACTATATATACATATGTATTTAACTAGTCACGTATCAAGTGACTGTGCCAGTGACTACGGAGACTGTCAGACTAACCTTAACCAAGTTATGGACTAACACTAGCTAGTTATATATATTTAGTTGGGTCATATTTCACAAAATACAAGTAACCACAGACTATTTGACAAGCCATACCAAAATACAAGTGACCACATAGAACTATGAAATCCTAAAAGGCTGCTCTTCTATGCTTCAGATCCTTGAAATCTGAGATTATATCATCATAGGTGTAGTGTCCTACAATTTCACCTTCGACCTGAACAAGTAAGCTGTTGGTAAGGTATTGATCTTCCATCTTGTTGCGCAGCCTTGTCTTGACGATCTTCAAGACAGAGAAAATATGTTCTCCCATCTCGTTTTCTTTTGTAAAAAGAATGGAGAGACACGATTTTCATGCAAACCATTGTTTTGCTACCTAATTAAAAAATTGCATCCAATTAATTTGGATCTGAATCTAGCATCTACCAAAACCACCTGGAAAGAAATAGAGCAAAAGATTGGAGTTGGAGATTGAAGAAGAAGAAATAACCTGGGACCTAGCGGCGAGCCGGTGACCACCGCTGTTGCGCTGCAGGACTGCGGCGGGACGGAGGGAGGACAACGAGTCGCGAGGCAGAGGAGCTGCGGTGTGCCGGTGTCTGCTCGGTTGGTGGCTGGAGACGGCGCGGCGCGGCGCCGAGGCGGACCGATGACGAAGCGGCAGAGCCGCGGAGGAGTCGCCGAGTGCCCGAGTCGGGCATGACTGCCCCTCTGCTCAGCTATTCTGCTCTGGTTGCTGGGCTGTCTGGCTATTGGGATTCGTGGGCTGAACAATATTTGGGAATTTTGTTCTGGACAAGGGGAGGCGGGAGCCCAGTTTCGCCTCCACTGGGCTCCGCCCGTGCGTTGGGCCTCCTGGACCTCCTCACTGCAGGCTTGCCCTGCTGAGTCCGAGTTGGCTAGCGCGCACTCCGCGGATGAAGGCGTCAAGGCGACGTACTCCTCGCCTCGTCGGTCAAGCCTCCATTACTCCTCGCCACGAACGCCGTCGCCGTCCACGTGGAGGCCTCCATCAAGTCCGAAGCCGCCGCCTTGCCGAGCACCACGCTGCTATGGACTCAAACTCTAGGTCCGCAGGCGTGACGACCTCCCCCTGACGCGAGGCTCTTGGGCGTGGCTACAATGAACAGGCGCATCACCTCGGGCTGATTACATGACTTGTGGCTTGCATGTGACCATATGAGGCTGTCCCGTGAAGTTTCTCTGATTTTTTTGTTGTCGGATCTGTGATTTTTTAAATTTAATTTCTAGGAGCAGCTGGATTCTGAGCCACCTCTCGAGTTATGATTTATTGAGACGACTCATGTTTCCAGCCATGTTTTGGGGAGCCGCCTTTGGAAATCGCTGATTCCTAGAGACACAGTAGTAGAGGCCGCTAGGCCATCCACCTTATGAAGACGTTCTAGTCGCTTTTACAAATCTTTTGTGTAGTAGTGATGTATTAAAATGGAAAAAAGGAGACCAAAATTTGGATGACAAGCACAAAAAGTAATAATAATGAGGATCTCATGCCTACCAAACTAGAGGTGACAAGCTAACAAAGTTATTTGTGTAAAAATTCATGAGGTGTCTCAAACTTGCACGATGTTATCATTCAGGTCCCTAACTTCGAATTTTGATGTAGGGGTCTCCAAACTTTTAGGGCATTGGCATGGACTAGGGTGGGTTCTGTATTCAATGGTATTTAGTTAAATAACTACTCCCTCCGTTTCAAATTATAAGTCGCTTATTATATCTAGATGCATAGCAAAATGGATGTACTAAAAAAAATCAAAGCAACTTAGATCTTGGAACGGAGGGAGTATTATTTTTGCAAAATAATATTATATATACATGCTATGTACCATGAATAAAAAAAGAAAATACCTTGAAATCATAGGTATTCAAAGAATTCAGCCTATAACCTTTTTCTGCTCCCTCCCCCCGTTATCCCTGATGGCCCAACATGGTCCAACAGCCGATGGCCCCATCTTTGTTTCCCCCGATCTGAGTGGCTGAGACATTGGCACATCACAGTAACAAACAACTCAGGCCTTGTTTACAAAATTCCAAGTCAATCTCCCTGCTAAATGTAAAAAATAACCCCATCATCTGAAGGGCCCAAATAAGTCTATTCATCCAAATTTTTTCTCTGCTGTACCCCATCATCTGAAGGGCCCAAAAGTCACCATTCTTTGTGGACTTGCATGTTTACAGGCTCGCAAATTCTCTCGAACACATACTGCTAAGTGTTGATTAACTGTTGTGGATTTTTCATTCCCACATGCTATATGTGTAACCAAATTATAGCATCTTATATATTAACAATGGTTCTTAAGAAATATTGCATTTACATTCATCTTATTATGACAGATCTTATTTATATCTAAGACGCAACAAAATAGCACACAGAAATCTTATTCATCCTCGATATGGAGACATACATGCACGACGTAAATAGTCAAATAGACAACACAGACAGTATAAGTTGTCTAGTTAACTGTCTATATGTGAGGTGATAAAGACTAGCAGATAGCACTTAGCAGCTATTTGCAGTTATACATGCCCTACAACACGATATATGGATGGATGGCCTGCTCCATATGGATCAACGGGACCCTTGTCCAATTAGTTAACGTACCTTTTTGCCCTCCGGTCGTCGAGGCACAAGGTGAGCACATAGTGGGCACTTCATGACACACTACTGCAGACGGGTTCTTTATCGAGTGCTCCTATTGCACTCGGTAAAGAGTAGTCGGCAAAGAATCCGTCGGCAAAGGTTTCTTTACCGAGTGTCACGTTAGTACTCGGCAAAAAAAAAAAGGCGACGTCAACTCTGACGGCCTCTTTGCCGAGTGCCACCTCAGCGGCACTCGTCAAAGAATTTTTTTCTTTTTTTTTTGAAAATTCTTTACCGAGTGCCATACTATTGACCTCGGTAAAGAAATTTTTTCTTTTTTAAAAAAAAATCTTTGCCGAGTGCCATGGCTCTGCCACTCGGCAAAGCTGGGAAATTGGGTCTCTGCTTCCCAGCTTTGCCGAGTGTCATGGTCACGGCACTCGGCAAAGCCCTCTTTGCCGAGTGTGGCACTTGACAAAGAGGGGAAAAATGCTATTTTTTGTTTTTTTGCTTTCCATCAGCACAAACAAAGAAATCACATATATATCAACACACAACACATGATATATCACATACACATCCATATTCCATCACATACACATCCATAACCCGTCACATACACATCCACCATCCATAATACATCACATACAAATCCATTATCCATAATCCATCACATACATTCGCATCATCCATGACAATATCCATCACAATATATATATGTCTCTAATAGTAGTCCAACATAAGGCTAAGTCTAACACAAGTCCATGCAACATGAAAAGAAACAAATAAACGGTACCTACTGCCAGCTTCCCCACCTGGAGTGTGAACTGCCACCTTGAGGAGGGCCAGTTGGCCACCCGGCCTGTGGAGAAGGGCCACCTTGAGGAGTCCGGTTCAAATCCGCCGACTGTGGCTGCACAAAGGAGAAGCGAATTCATGAGTATCTATAGGAGGGCCGCACAAACTAAAGAAATAAACAACCATATATACTCACCGGGGTCCCTACAGGAGGAGGAGCCACAACTGGAGCGAGCAGCGACTGGGTCACTGAAAGGTCGAGATGGCGGACTAGAGGGGGGGTGAATAGTCTTTTCTAAAATTAATTGTGTCAGCTAACCGATATAAATACGGAATTAAAACAATCGGTCTAGCCAAGACTACACCCCTCTATATATGTTCACTAGCACCTTGCAAAGATACTAATAAAGCAACTAAGGTGCCAGGCTAGCTAGAGCTCTCCTAAACAATTCTAGGAGCAAGGTCACACAAACCTATGCCACTAGTACTTTAAGTAACAAGGGAGCTCCTACACATGCTAGTAAGCAAAAGCACAAAGCTAACTAAGCTCACTAGCAATGCTCAATAACAAGGCAACCAATACCTAATTAGAGAGTGCAAATACTTAGCTACACAAACTAAGCAATGTGACTAACAAGGTTACTAAAACCAAATTAGCCACGCAACATACTTTTATGCTACACAAGCAAGAAGGTGTTTAGCTACACAAGCTATCTAATTACAAGAGCAACTACACAAGCTTAAGATATATATATAAGTAATTGCAAGCTTGTGTAATAATGGATGCAAACCAACGGGAAGAACAAGGTTGACACGATGATTTTTCTCCCGAGGTTCACGTGTTTGCCAACACGCTAGTCCTCGTTGTGTCGACCGCTCACTTGGTGGTTCGGCGCTAATTGGCATCACCCGCTAAGCCCGCACGTCGTGGCGCCCGCAAGAACTACCCCTTGAGTGAGGGTAGCTCAATGACACGCTTTACTAGAGTTGCTCTTCATGCTCTCCTTGCTGGGCGCAGCACAAGTACCCCTCACAAGCACTTCTCCTGAGCGCCGACAAGCTTCTTGTTGACGGAGACCACCACCAAGCCATCTAGGAGGTGGCAACCTCCAAGAGTAACAAGCACCACCGGCTCGCAACTCGATCACCTAGTGCCACTCGATGCAACCTCACGATGCAATCGCACTAGAATCGCTCACTCACACAATCGGATGATCGCTATCAAGTATGTGTGTGATGGAGGGCTCCCAAGCACTCACAAGCATGGACACTAAGTCCCTTGAGGTGCTCAGGCACCATGGCCGAGGGCCACTTCTATTTATAGCCCCAAGGGCTAAACTAGCCGTTACCCCTTCATGGCAGCGGTCGGGCCGACCGGACGCCTTCGGTCGTGTTGACCGGACGCCGGACCTCAGCGTCCGGTCGCCCATAGATCCACGTGCCCCGGTTCCAACGGTCACTTGACTTGACCGGACGCGCAGCTATCAATCCGACCGGACGCTTGCGTCCGGCCGTTTCTAAGTACCAACCTCGACCGCGTCCGGTCACACTTGATCGGACGCGCAGCCATCCGGTCACACTCCAGCCTTCTGCGTCATTATCGTCGGCGACCGGATGCACTTGTCCGGTGCATTCAGATCCAGCGTCCGGGTCAGTTGACCGACGCCAAAGATCTTCGCGACTAACTCGTTTTCACTTCTAACTTCATCACCCTTGCTCCAATGTGCTAACCACAAGAACTTGCATCCGGCGCAATCGAAAATAGGCATTCTATTTTCCCGAAAGCGCCGAATCCATCTCACCCTTGCAAACACCACCTCCTTTGTAAATGTGCCAACACCACCAAGTGTACACCACCATGTGTATGTATGTTAGCATTTTCACAATCATTTCCCAAAGGATGTTAGCCACTCAACTTGCCACG